GCGGTTATACCATTGACCACGAGGGGGGGGGGGGGTACTCATTGTCGTGCATGCCGTAATCGCTAGACCATTGACCTCGCATCCCTACAAGGCCGGGACGGAGCACGCCGGGTTCTCACCGGACCAGGCTCTCACATCACCAAGCGCCAAGCGCCGTGAGGTATTCGGCGAGTCGCATGAAGGGTGCGCTGCATCCTGCTAAGGGTGTTCGGCATTTTGTGCTTACTTCCTTGCATACGGATGGCAGCTGCGAATGACTTAATTTATTTTCTGGTGCTTTCACTTCCAGAGACAGTTATGAGCATTGCGTAGCTGACCCGAGGGTGCTTAACCAATTTAACACAACGTGGTGCGATCATCCCCTGCGCGGCGTGAAGGTTCTCGACCCCACACAACATAATCTACTCGACCACCATGATGGTTACCGCAAAAGAAAACAACCAAAAGGCCAAAAAAAAAACGGCACCCTGGTGGTCGAGCTCACGAAGCGATCGGCTTGTTTTACAACGTCATTGCCATCCGACGAAAACCCAACCCGATGACAAACACCGAGGGGGATGGAGGGGGGGGGGGGGGGGGAGGTGCGATTCATTGCAGAGGGCGGCCACACGCGGCAAGATTCGACAGGGTAAAATCTACACACATCATTCCGGACCCCACAAAATTCAAGAAGGTCTTGCTTGTCTGTCAATCACCTGCATTACCTGCTGGGCACCCTCTTGAGGGCATGTCTTGCGTACGAGCAAACTAAGCAAACCGTGGGCAGCGATGGCCGCGAAAAGAAGCGGCAGGCTGTCTCGGAGCTCCCGCCACTGGTCGTCGGCCCCGTCGAGTGTTTGACCCAACCATCCCTGTCGCAGAAACCTCGGGGCGAAGAGAGAACATTGATGCGAAAGAAACAGCCACACGATTGCTCCGGTAAGCATGCATTCACGTACAGCAGCTGTGAGGGAGGGAACACGTTCTTTCTTCCCGGTACACTTGGGTATAGTCTCCTAGCAGGCAAAACCGAAAAATGGGGTGATATCGCTGTGTGCTGCTAGGGGAAACGTAGAAACACGGTGTCCGCATATGCTACACCAGTATGCATTCTTGCTGATGCATCCCGTCATGCTACCTAATGTCGGATTCTTGACTAATTCGTTGTGTTTTCGTAGAGCTAACACAGGTTGGTAGTCACAAAACGCTATAATTCCCTGGTCCTCTGCCCGGACTGTTCGGTTGAAGAGATGACTTGCTTCCAAAACCCAACAAAAATTCAGACAAACCCGACTGTCCGTATGCACATGATGCAACCAATAGACGCCTGACTTGGACCACGCAACCGCGAGCCTTCGTGTACGGTCAACGGCTGTTGTATGCTAAATACCTAGACCTAACCCCCAACCCTGTAAGTGGTCTATCTGAATCTATCTGTGAGTGGGCGGGTTCGTGTATTCTACACTGCATCACGTCTTCGCTTGGTTTGAGAATCGGGCCAAGACATGAGATGCTAATGATTTTCTGTCCTGGCCGCACCCACGCGGCTGTGCACGCCGTTACTTTTCTTACATGTAGCGGGGGAGAAGAGGCGGTGCCTAGTACAGCCGTCAGCAAAGAACGACTGACCGATCCTTCCCTCGCGGAAGACGACAGCAATCATTACGTTGATCTCCCTCACCTTCCGCAGGAGCGTTTGTCCATACACTCCTTCAGCCACATTGGCGAACAAACGTTCGGGATGTGCCAGAGGGAAATCCCGAAGAAAACAACGTAGCCTGCCAGCTCCAGCACTCGCCCTAACCTCCATGAATTGGCCATCGGTGACTCCGATATTCTTGGTAGCGTAGATATACCTATAGCTGCTTGCTGTCTTTCCAAGCGGGCAGCACAACCAAAAACCGTTGCTTGCTCTCGGTTTATTTCGGGGTCGTATCTCTATTTCGCCTTCTCTTATGGGGTAGCTCACGGGAACTCCTACGATTAACAGCAGTGCATATCGCACCACAGTAGTCTGTGGCGGATGAAGGCTGCGCTGCTCAGCTCGGCTCGTGCGCTACGCTGGCTCCACTGCAGCAGTCGGGCAGTCGGCAGTCGGGCACCCGCTGTGCCCCTCCACGGGGGTTACGGAAGTACATCCGCGTAACCCCCCAAGATCCGTGCGGCAGGGGAGATCTGTCCTGGTACCTGGTACACACACGTACGTACACTCAAACACCAAGAAATCTTTTATTATTCCTTAAATGTTGAAATCTTAATCGTCTGTCGTTGCTTTGCCATGGGCGAAACGTCACAGAAAATACGGTACATGTACAAACACGAGAAAATAGGGTTGTACGGCACGCTAAAAACAGCAACTTTGTACGCATGATGCACGTACCTCCTGTAGAGAAGAGAGTCTTCAGAATTTACGTTGACGATGTTACCGTTGCCGACGCAGGGCTAGTCTGCCAATCATCGCTGTAGAAAAAAATGTGTACCTTTTCTTGTTTCGTCATTTTGTTCTGTCGGGTACACCGTTTTCTGTCGTTTGCCTCGAAATCTTAGCGCACGCCCACAAAAAACAGACCGACTCACACGTACACAGCAGAGTCAAGGAACGCAATCATCTCTGTCTGTAACTTCGCTTCGACGAGCCACCAGATCATCTAGCCTCTTCTACGTCATCTCGTCCGGCTTTCGCTGCCCTCTCTCCTCTCTCTCTCTCTGGTCCGTCTCTCTCTCTCTCTCTCTCTCTCTCTCGGCCTCTCTCTCTCTCCCTCTTTGTGGAGAAGCCATGCCTCCGCGCTCGGACACAGCGATTGGAGCTAACGATGATTCGACGTCCTCGATCACAAGACCGAACAAGGATGTCAGGGTCGACCTCATGGCGCTCCGCAAGCAAGTACCAGAAGAGTGAGTGAGCGTGGCAAAAGAGTTGGTGTGGTACGAGTAGAAAAACGTGTGAATCCGCTCAGTTGGCACAATATTATTGCCAATAGCGCCGCCACTCCCAGGGCCTTTGCCTGGACGAGGTAAGCGGCCGTCGTCATCTCACAACTATTGCCCACGCCTCAGGAGCACGCTTGAGCGGTCTTGACCTGGCAGACGGCATTGCAAGAGCAGGAGCATAGGATGCCTTTGGACCTGTGGCACTTGGGGAGGTACATCTGGAGAGGACTGCTGGTGTGTCTGTTCGTGGTTGGCACGTGACGCGCACAAACAGGAACACGCGTAAAAAAAACTGCTGAAGATGCTGACGAAAACCACGTGTTTGTATGTAAATGTGTGAATGCTGGCTCGACGAGCCCGCTGCAGGGAGGTCTCTCGCTCTCTCGCTGTTTTCATGTTGGCTCAGCACCGTGTTGCATTACAGGGGTGTATTTGCACCCGTGGGTTGACTCATGTACGGCAGCTCTTGCAGTCTAGGAAGGCGGCCGCTCGCTAAAATTAACTCCGCGAGCGCGCCTCGAACCGAACAAATGAAAACATGGACGCATTTTTTTCGTGGCGCGTGCCAACGGTCGAGTCATCATACACACTCATGTCCCGCTGTATGCATATGATCTCCCACGGCCAGCGAGTAATAGGAAGAGGACAGTTGCAGGTATCAACGTTGGTGATGAATTACAGGGGATGGCTGACAACATAAGAAACAGGCAGCTTACCTTGGAGTATTTATTTAGGATCACGTATGACGACGTGCCGACCAATGAAAACACGAGGGCCCTCCTCGTAGTCGTACTCCTTTCCCACAATAAAAAAAACGTTACCAACACCGCCTTCTTCTTCTTTGTCTGCTGGTCTGTCATGACAGGTGCTTCATCAAAAGCTTGCCGAGATCACTCTTCTACATGGCGCGGGACATGGGTTGCGTGCTGGCGCTGCAGTACTTGTACCCCATGTACGTGGCCGGGAGCTGGCCGCTGACGTTTCTCTGGTGGAACGCGAACGGCTTTATGCTGTGGGCGCTATTCGTTATTGGTGAGGAACAACAGATCATGAGCAATTTTTTTGTGTGATATTCGACTGACTGTAGCTCGCCTACAGCAGGATTTCCTACAGATCACCATGGAGCAAACACACACAGACCACCGATGTCGTACAGATTCTATCGGGCAAAGATACACCCAGATTATGCATGAATCACACCTGTATCTCCACACCGTTAGCTCCGGCAAACATACACAGATCACCGACCGTGTCCTAAAATATCATCACGTGAAGCTACGCATATGCATTAGATCATTCACGGTCACGTACGTCCTACACATCACCTCGAGCAAGCATGCACCGATCACCTACTGCTGTATATCCTTCAGATCGAACTTTGAAAATCGATTCGGGGATGTGCTATCTTGTGCATGAGTCAACTACATACTACGCCGGCACACCAACACTCACTCACCCAACGCAAAGCCTACAAGCTGTCACATATGGGATTGGCGGTAGGTTCTTGGTTATTTGTGTTGGAGTTGAACCAGTTTCTTCGTGCCCCGGCCGCCGTGTAAGAAATACCAAACGCTAATGCTGTATGGTGGTAGAAATTAAGAAGTCAGATTTAGATGAGTTCGATACGATATGGATATCGGAAGCTCGATGTGCGAGTCCAACGCCCCCCCCCCCCCGCCCCCGCGTTTGGTGAGGGGGGCCCGCTGGAGGCCCCACCTTCACTATTCAGAGAGACGCATTGTAGTGCCAAACCGGCACCGTAGAGGGCTACCATGCATACGACCCTCAATTGTGCCGGTTTTGCACTTTTGAGACACATGAGAGTTATGTTTTGGGCTCATAGGCCATGCGATTCCTGCTGTTGTGCAATTTTGAGCACCATATGTAGCAGCGAACAGCAGGTAGTACAGTGTTCTCACTGGTGGAAGTAAAACTGGAGGGGCCTCAGCAAAAAAAATGTTTCGCGGCACGCACACATTTCGTTGCTTGTTGCCATATCTGTTGCAATCAACGACTTGGCACTCCAAACTTATGGCACCGTGCTTTCTCTGTATTTACTATTTACGAGCATCGCTCTGCATTTCCTTCACTACCAAACGAAGTTTGATATCCATGATATCCATGCAGCATGTACCCAGAAGTGAAGGATATCCGGACACCGCAAGGACGATTAACAGGCCCTCCTCTCGCCTGAAGGCACAAAGTTGACCTTGAGCACAGGCAGTTTGTTCGCAGACAACCTAACACCTCTTGATCCTCAAAGATAAAAGTTCTAGATACAACACCTTCAATCTACAGTCAGTCAGTCACGCGGGAAGAGGACAGGGTAAATAGACACCAACAAACAAGCACAAGAGACAGGCTAGGTCGTCACCCCCAGCACACGGCATCTTGCGCCTCTGCATCGCAAGGTGTGGGGGTACAGCAGTACACTTGTGTATTTTTTCTCTCGCTGCGGATGTGCATGTGCGTGGTGTCAACAATGCGGAAGCGGCATTATTGAGGTTTTCAGCAGGGCTAAACCGGCACTGGTATCACTTAGTGACTGCAAACGTTTGAACGTGTTATCTTACGCGCCGGTCGCGCATGCATTTAGTTGGAGTTGGGCCTGCCCCGTCTGCGGTTAAGGCGGCACTTTAGTTTTTCAGTTACACAAAACTAACGTGGTTGGGGGCTTTCTCCCTATTTTTCTCGTCGGGCCTTGAACCCGCTTGAGTGCTACCACTCGTGTTTTACACTTAGGTGTGCCATTTGCACTAAATGAGCCCATCGCTTCGTAGTGCTGGACTCATCCCCACCGACCAAAACCCTTTGTTGTGTCATGCTTTTATACTTGCTTGTTTCTGTTCGGTGGGAAAACTCACGAACTTCTTATGTCTCATTTTCTTTGGCTACACGAAGGCGTCGAGGACGCCTGAAAAATTGGGTGGGTGGTCCTCCGTATGGTGATTGAGATTGCATGCTAAATGCTCTTGTCTTGCGAGAGGTATTGCTTTACATGAACTACTTTTCTACTCCCAATCCAAGTTGCTCTCTGCATGCGTTCGGTACACGTACACAACTTTTATGTTCGGTGTGCCAAACCGGCGCTCGAAGTTACATTGCTAGCTTGCAGATGCCTCTCCCCCCGGAGAAAATCTCCAGACCGAAGTCGCGCTAATCGAAGTGCTTTGTCGTGGCTCATGTCTTCATCTTCAGCTTCATCTCCATCTTCATCTTGGTTACTCGAGAAGCGAGAAGCGCGAAGGGTTCAGCTATTTCTTCCTTCAAATCGATATCACGAACACGCCCTGATTACAGCATGAGGCGCGCAGTGCGGAAAAAATACCGCTTGAGGGTTCACAGATTAGGGGCTCCTGTGAGCACGATATAACTTGGCAAGACCTGGCGCCGTAGACAGCATGATATGCCACATCTGTACCCCTCCGCATTTAAACGACTTCCCACGCTACGATTGCGTGTTCGCAACCACTCCTGTGGGCAGCGGCTTCGCTGGATGGAATCTGACGGACAAACGGAAGAGGACGAAACTTGTAACGCGTTGTGCAACCTGCAGCCCATCTATTTAACTTGGATGGTCTAACCAATCCCACCACGGCTGTACCCTTCCTTTGCTGTCTCATTTTGTGTGTCTTGACGTTTGACATGTTGTCACCGCCACGGCGACGGCTGCTGTGCGACGACGACGACGACACCTACGTCAAGGCCACGACTGCGGGCACACGACGTTTAGCAACTACCCGTGGGTAAACGCGCTCGTGGGTCACTTGTGCCACGCCCCGCTGCTGGTGCCGTTCTGGCCTTGGGCCAAGAGCCACAACGAGCATCACAAGTACCACAACCACGTGGAGAAGGACATGTCGTACCCTTGGTTTGGGAAGCAGCAGTTCGAACAAGAGGTGGGCGGTGTGATTGTGTACCGGTGCGTGTGTTGGGGGCTGGCTCAGTGTAAGGTTAAGATTGGAGTCGTCGTTCCTTCGGTTTCCCGGCTTGTTAATTTTCACGGTGTGGGTTTTGTCGTTGGTGCCTGGGTAGCCATTCGAGTGTCAATTTTTCGTTCTGATGGATTTCTCACTGGTCAACATCCCAAGAAAAGCCCAATCCCCGGAACCCAGCCAAAGTGCGAGGTGCTCACGCAAGGCGCTCGATCGACTCGAAGGCGCTGTTTCTTCCGCGGAGTGTTTTTTTTTTTTTTTTTTCGTCCCCTTGTCGGGCAACGAATACCTGCGGTTGGTTTTCAAGCTGTTGATTGGTCGGGCGTGTCGAGAAATAAATTACATGGAATTTTTGTTCCGCGTTTACGTTGCCACACTCTCGTGCTTGTGACACGTCACTTCAGGTCAAGCCTTTGACGAAGCTTTTCCTCAAGACCCCCTTCCATCCGTTCACGTCTTACCTCTTTACCTACCTGCTGGCTGGCTGGTACGACGGTTCACACTTCAACCCCTTCAGTGAGTTCTTGAATAGATGTATGATGCATGATGCATGATACCAAGCGTGACGTCACATGAATGATGATGTTCGACATGGTCGTGGTCGGTCCTCTTTGCGTTTTTTCGTCGCTTGGTGTTCGGAGCTCAGTTGTGATATCTATGGAACGGATACTCCACGACGTCGACAACCTTCATCTTAGTTTGGGAAGTACTTCACAGTAGTGTTCCAACGCCAGGACGGACTACCATATGCCTCGGATACTCCGGGGTTTTTTTGTGTGTCCGTCACGGAAGCGTTTCAATTCAATTCGCCAGATTTACAGCACCGGAGAATGGTCTGTCCATGCACCTCACGTCATCTCATCTCTGCGGTCCTGTGGTGTCGAACCAATAGAGGCGATGGTCCCTACCAACGACCATAACCGACTTGACAAAGGCTGGTGTTGTCCCAGTAGGCGGGCAGACAAAGGCTGAGGCAACAGAGAATCCAAATGGATGAGCAAGATGTTTGGGTGTTTCACGAGCGTGAAGTGAAGATGACTCTATCTACAACGCTGGAGACACGGAGAGAAATACGTAGAGGCAGAGAAACAGCAGACAGAGAGAAAGAGAGATTGGGCGGCGAATACTCTGAAGCCCGATGAGCGTAGCGAATGAGTACACCGCTTTTTGTTGTTGGATTTGCGTGCAAGTAGGAACTATCAAGGGCATTGCGGATTGAAGGATAGAGGAGGGGACAGGACCGTTGTGGGCCCTTTTGAGGGACTAGATCCTTCGGTCAGCCACCCAAGAGCGAAGAACAGCAAGCACTGCACCCTGTGGGGCTACCTGACTCTGGCCCCCAACACAGAATAAAATAATAATATGTTCGACAAACAAAAAAAAGACACAAAAGACAATATAAAGACAAGCATTTTTTTTTGTGGACGCTAATTCCCTCCCTCTCTTGAGCGACCAGGGCGGCTGCTGTTCCACAAGAGTGAAGAACGTTCATCAGGGCTGTTGCAGCGTGTGACACTTCTCTAACTCATCCCCCCCGTCTCCCCGTCTCCCACGGTGCGCGCTCGCGGCGGTGGTTTTGTTGGATCGAAACGCCAGGTGTGCTCTTCTGGAGCCGCAAGGAACAGGTGCAGTGCGCGGTCTCGACGGCGTCGGTGGTGACGTTCATCTACCTCCTGGTGGCCGTGTTGTTCGACTTTGATTGGTCGGCCATCGTCGTGCGGCACTTGGTGCCCGTGATGATCATGAACTACTGGCTGGTGATGGTGACCTACCTTCAGCACCACGAGGAAGATACCAAAGTGAGAGAGAGAGAGGCGGGCAGGCAGATTTACTCTGGGGAGAACGGAAGGAATTGGGCTCTAGCAATCGACTTTTGGGGCGGATGAGGGGGGGGAAGGGAAGGGACGGGAAGGAAAGGAAAGGAAAGGAAAGGAAAGGAAAGGAAAGGAAAGGACGGGTTGTCAGGATGCCGTTCCGTTCATGTCATGTGTCATGGCCCCAAGAGGGAAAGGATCCAACACAACAGGGTCAGGGGGGGGGGGGGATGCGCTGTTGGACCTTGTTTTGCCAAGGGGCCCTCCATGTGGAAATTATGGAGCACCCCACCGGACCAAGATTGACATATGCATACAACATAGCCACAATGCGCGGCTCACTTGGCCATACTACAACCCTAGACAGTGCAATGAGGCGTATTCAGATTGTAGTATGCTGCACTAAATCCCATATAATTAAGCATGCATAGGTTTAAGTATTACAACACCAAATCTAATACAACAGAACCCCCCCCCTGCCCGCCCGCCCGCTCGCGACCAGATGGCGCGTACCTTGGGTGTGTTCCATAATTTCCACTTAGAGGGACCCTTGGTTTTGCCGCTTGCTCTGGCTTGCCAGTTCGGTGTAACCCCGTGGCTGTTGCATCTAATAGTTGCAACATTCAAAATGGTCCAAGACGTGACACCGTCGTGACCTATTCGCTCCAGGAGGGGCCGTTTCAGTCGCCTGCTTGTTTGAGTTTTAGTGTTATTCAGTGTTAGTGCTCTCCTTGTTCTGAAACTTGGAGCCCTCTATGTTTGAGACGTGAGTTGGGATCTCAGCGAACTTAATACAAAAAAGTATTGGATTTGTTGTCAACACGCCCTCACAAAGCTGTGGATAATTTGGACGTGACCACGTTCTCCATCTCCCTCTCAATTGACGCTTAGAACATACTACCGCTACAGCTGCTGCTGCTGTGACATGGCAACGATAGCCCCCGACCTCTTAAACTTTCTAATCCAAATGCCGCTGGATGTACGCTGTGATTTTACCCTCTCTCCCAGACGTTCGATAACTCGGACTTCCACTTCGCGACGGCGGCGATGGAGACTGTCGACCGCAAGTACGGCTGGGGCATCGACGACGCGCACCACAACATCACGGACGGGCACGTGGCACACCACCTTTTCTTCACCAAGATCCCCCACTACAACCTCAAGAAGGCCACCGCTGCCATCAGACCGTCCCTCGAAAAGCTCGGCCTTTACCGGTGAGCACCGATCTCTGTCTCCCATGCTTATGCTTGCATGATTGTTGCCAATTGGTCGGTTCGAAACATGTCTCCAGCTGCGTTGAACGAACACAATGGGTTGGTTGTACTTATATTTCTGTGCAACCCGCCACACACACGTACGTTGATCCCAAAATGGGTGGAAGGTTAAGATGTTGTGTGGCTCTAGCGTAGTTATCAGGTGTATGGAGTTTTTCTTTTCGGGGCAAAAGGTAGTTCGCCAATCAACTATTTATGGTACGTACCACGAAAGCTGATGGTGGCTATGCTGGGACGGTTACCTCGCGTAGTGTTTTTCGTTGGATGGGTGATAGTATTGCGCCACATGTGTGCCATGCGCCATCTCTGAATTTGCGTAATGCCACCGCGTCTCGACCTAATGTTGGCCCCTTTTTTTTTGCCTACCGCCCGCGTGCACGCTGCGAAACCTCCGAAATAAAATATTTCACCAGGTACCGAAACAACCCCAACTTCCTGTGGGTATTCGCCCGAGAAAACTACAAGCTGGGCTTCTACACGCACTCCAAGGCGCACGACCACAGGGCAAAGATGCACTACCTGGATGCCTCCCGAACACCAGCGTTCAAGAACAAGAGCAAGCCTCTGTGACGAGGTCTTGATCCATGTGTCGAGTGCCGATTCGATTTCGAAGAGCGCAAACAGTGCCCAGCTCTCTGGCCCTCGTGCATGTGTCTCGGCTTCTGTTTTATGACCTGTACTACTGTTGTGAGTTAGAGGTGGAGAGAGAAATACGCTTGTCTGTATCCGTGCGCGACAAACGGTGTTGCCGTCGGATTCGCACCTGGTGGTGGTTATGTCTGGTGTGACTTGTGTGTTGCCTTTCCCGTGCTCCTTTTTTTTTTTTTTTGTCCGCCGGTCTCCTGCCTTCCCTTGGGATGCGTGCTTTTCTTAACAAGAGCTTTTCGATGGTGGTTGCTGTCTGTATTTCTTGGTCAGTCAGTCCTGGACGCATTTTCGTGTCTTTTGAGTGTCTCGTTGCGTTGCATTGCATTGCATCAGACATTCATACACAGAATCTCAAGAGTGATACGTGACGACAGATAGCCCTCGTTTCCGCTTCCCGCGGGAAAGCAAATTCGCCGCCGTAGGCCGGATCTCTTTTTTTAGGGCGGGGGCTCGCACCATGCGGTGCGATCGCAGGTGTTGGGATCGACAACCGTTACTGCCGTAGCAGAGATTAGCTAGCAAAGAAATGGGCCGCGTCTCCTTTTGCGTGCCTCTGCTGATGCCACTGACGTTTTGACTAGTGCGTTTTCGGCGGGTGTTTGGTGGGAAGGAATGGCGCACGATGTGTGGGCTTAGTCGTTAGTGCATTTTTGTTTTTTTGCTGTGAGTGCCTACATTACATGAAGGCATCATCAAATTTCCAAGACGAACAAGGGACGTAGGTTCCGATCACTGCGAAAAACGGTTAGTGTTGTGCATTGGTCTGTCTATCTAGTATGCTTTAGTTGCGTCGTAAGACCCTTCGTGAGCCTTTGGACTTTCAAGAGTCAAAAAAGAGAAAAATATATATGTTTTGTTTTTGTCTTACAGAGCTGAAGTTTGTTGAGGGCAGGGACGGCAATAACAGGAGGGGGCGAGCGCGGTCGGTTGGTCTTGTGGAGACGAGATAAAACACCCGGTAGATCTAGACCCTGCTCTCTCTCTCTCTCTTCATCTGCTTTCGTCTAGTTGTCTCAAACAACATGGTACAGTTTTATTGCTTATTACTTGGGTGGGTAATGGAACTAGCAGCCGCCCGTGTTGTCAAGTGAGATCAGCCTGGTCCAGGAGAACTAGACTAACGTAGACGCACCGATGATGATGCTGCAGCCGGGGCAACTTTCCTACAACAACTGGGCTACTAAAATAGCCGAGGAGAAACTTGCATTTCTCCGCAATGCCATGCACGTAGAGGCGATAGAGGGGTTGAGAGACCCTTTTTGAGGCATGGCACAATGAATGATGGCCGGACTGAGTGTGTTTGGAGGAGTGCAGTTGAGCCAAGGCCTGAATGGCATGCTGGGGGGGGAAGGACGGCGGCCGAAGCTCCCTTTTTGGTCGAGCGTGTGTTTCTTTCAATGCGTGGCATCGCTCAACTAGAGCTGTGAGAACGCGATGCTGTTGTTGTGTAGGTGGAGTATTGACAGTAATGAGTTACTCCATGTACGATGCTTTCTCAACGTTGTCGGTGTTGTTTCTCTAGTCGGGTGATTATGATGCAACATGTTGTATTTTTCTCTTCTCAACTGATGAACGTCAGTGCATTTAAGCGCGTGCTTCCTCGCATCGGTTCCTTCAAGGTACACGTACTGCTGGTTGCTGTGTGCCATTTCGATGCTGGATTCCTATCGACCGGATTGTTGTCACGGACAGGACGTGCTGTGTATTGCAGTGTAGCGCCAGTCTACACAGATAGGGTGCGTACCCCTTCTCTTGCGTTTATAGACTGTAAAAATACCCGCCACATGACCGTCCTGAGTGGACTGAGCAGAAGGTGATGAACGATTTCGTGTTGAAGTTGGTTCAACATGTGAATAGTTGGGGCACCATACAGAGTTTTGGTGGCCGTCGAGCAACGCGTACATTACCTGACATCTCGCATACCCCCCTCTCCCTGTTCTCCCTTCGGTCGGGCGTTTCCGTGGTTGGTCTGTCTGGTCCTACAGAACTACCATCCCTCCTTCTTCTCGTGTATTAGAATTACCATTAGGTCGAGACGTACAGCAGTAGTAGCACTACTACTAGTAGGTTGAATTCGTGATCAATTCTCGGAGGGAGAAGAAGAAGCTCATGCGGGCGGGTCAAGCAATTGGCGGTGATGGTGGTTGTCTGTTTTATATTTTTTCTGTCTTTTTTTTGTGTGTTTACTTCCTTTGTTCCAAGGTACGAGAACGGAGGCGTGTGTTGATCCTTCTTTTGATTTATCGGGGTGGGCGGATGAAAGACGACGGAAAAAAACTGACGAGGCAGGGGGGGGCGTACTCTTATGTTTTGCATGCCTTAGCGGTTACACCATTGACCACGCGTCCTCGAGAGGACGGAGCATTGTTCCCACAGAACCGATCACCGATGGCCAATCGTTCCTTCCTACTTTGCCAAAGGTGGCTCAAAAATATCTTCCCTAGTATGTCTATCCTAACGATATCCCTTCCCGCCTTTTCAAACCACTTCCTACTCCCCAGTACAGCTACCGTCCTCTCCTCTCTATGCCATGCCTCAAACATCTCCCTGTACGTCCCTTGCATTTTTCCCAGCTCAGTCATGTACACTTCCCTCTCCTTGTACAGCCGACATTCCGTGACTACATGAACACGGTCTTCGCATTCGAAGCCGCAATCACATATGAACTTGTCGTCTTCGTCGTCTACCGTCCTTTGCCTTTGTCGACGTTCGCGAAGGCCTATGCCCCCTGTCCTGAATTTGACCTTCAGCTTTGTCCCTGCATCCATTGGTCCATGTAGGCAATCCTTGAACCTTACTACTTCTTTCAACATTCCGTACACTTACTTCTAGACCCTCCTTATCCTTGGTTTCTTTCCTTAGATTCTGTTTTTCTCTGTCGGCACAAGCAACAGATATCTTCTCCTTGAACCCCTGTAGACCCTCCGTTTCGAGCGTTTCATCTTCGTCGATGTCTAACCTCTTCCGTACGTCCTCTTATACTGCTTTGTACTCGCCTCTCTCCAATCGAAAACAGTGCATTGTGCGCGCCGCACATCTAGCTCCGCAGTTTTTGCGTGGTTGGTCAGGTCGTTCAGCTTGCTCGACGTGAGTAATAAGCTGTGCTTTGATGGCTCTGTGTTTTATCGATATACTTCAAGCAACGAACACCCCCCCCCCCTCCACCGTCCGATCCATTTTGGATCTCACGCCGGAGAGTTTTGGGGTGTCTTAGCTCTAAGTCCTCCACCACCGCCCAATGAGGGACTTTATTTACTAATTTTTTTTAATGCCGTACCTTAACCTTAGGTAAAAGCTTGTGCTTACTTTGGACTGTACCATCATCCTCTGGGGGAGGTAGAGGGGGGGGGGGGCGCATGGCCTCTATTTTTCAGGGGGGGTTCGGGTACGGGTTGGGGACCGGGTCTATGTGTACTACATTCTCGAGTTGTCCCCTCACTATAGCTACTGTGGATTTTCAGTATACAGCTATCCTAGCTCAACGCGTCTATGTGTCCGAATTTCCAATACAAATCAACCTGTGAGGTTTCGTATGTGCAGCTTTCCTCACTCAATGAATGCGCGTCTATGTGTCCGGCAATCGCAAACATCACTCAACCCGTGAGGTTTCAGTATGCAGAGCTATCCTCACTCACCCCGTCTATGTGTCCGGCAATCTCAAATATCACTCAACCCGTGAGGTTTTAGTATGCAGTTATCCTCACTCAACGCGTCCATGTGTTTGGCAATCTCAAAAACCAATCCATCTGTGAAGTATGCAGAGCTATCCTCACTCAACACGTCTATGTGTCCGGCGATCTCCAATACAAATCACCTGTGAGGTTTCAGTATGCAGCTATCCTCACTCAATGCGTCTATGTGTCCGGCAATCGCAAACATCACTCAACCCGTGGGGTTTCAGTATTCAGCTATCCCCACTCAACGCGTCTGTCATCTGCCTGGCAATCTCAAAAACCAAACCATCTCTGAAGGTTCAGTATGCAGCTACTATCCTCTCTCAACGCGTCTATGTGGCCGGCAAACTCAATAACCAATCCATTTGTGAGGTTTCAGTATGCAGCTATCCTCTATGTAGTATCCGGCAATCAATCTCAAACCTCACTCAACCCTTGAGGTTTCATTATTAAACTTATACAGCTATCCTCGCTCCACACGTCTATGCGCCCGGCAATCTCATACATCACTCAATCAACCCGTCCGTGAGGTTTCCGTAAACAGCTAGTATCCTCACTCCACTCGTCCATGCGTCACGCGTTTTGGTAGCGCATACTATGGGGGCTATAATTGGGGTGGCGTGTTTTACAGCGCTTGCCAACAGCGCCAACCCACTTGTCTAGATTACCGGGGGGGGGGGGGGCAGTGATAACCACCCGAATTGGGAGGGCTTGATTGAGTGAGTGGTGCTTAATCGTACCAACGAACAAGAGGGGCCGTGAGCGTTTTACAGCGGAACGTTAGACGACATACATATGTGGCTTCGAAAGACGGTCATAAGCGTAGTTGCGCACACTGCGAGGGTTTAGGCTTAAATGGGCACACAACATTAGAACACGGGTGATGAGTGGGGGATCCATGCGGAAAACGAAAACGATGAAAATAACTTGACTGCGCGACTCGCTCAACGAACGAGACGTGAAACAAAACGCCAGCGCCGGCCAACATGTAATGTGTGCCTCCAACCGCCCATGCATGCGGCAAGACGAGACGAAGCCACCATGGAGGCCGTGCGGTTTGTCCTTCTCAATTCAACTTCTCATGCCCAAGGGATGTGTACCAAATGTATATCGTGCAATATGTCAGCCGCGTCATGGAGAAAAAGGGGCGCCGGAGTCGGTATGGAGTATCTAGACCAACCGGACTAGTGCGGGGGGCAATATAACAACGCCGGAATGCCCTGATTCCACCGGCGGCGCTGTTCGAAGTATGGAATAACTCGGTGATGCCGTCTGTGCCCGCCGAAAAAACATGTCACCCGCACGAACAGGGCCACCGGCGCCCGTCAATGGGCGTTGATATTGAGCCGCAGAAAAAAATACTCCGCCCCTCTTTCCGCACGCAGTGGGAGGGAGAGACAACAGCGCATCGCGTTTAATATAACTGAAAGACGATCCAAAACACGCGAATCAAGAGACGGTAATACGTGATTGGAAAAAAAAGAGAGGCGACAAGAAAAACGGCACACATTCATTTGACATTCATTCGACATCAGGACGCCTCATCTAACTGCCTGTAGTGTAGAAGAATCATTGAGTGCAGCACAGCATTAATATAAAAAAACTAGTAACAAAGGTTGGTTGAGCCAGGAAAAGTTACAACGACCAAGAGATTCAACGCCGCTTGCTGCATCTTGCTTGCCGCCCGCTCTTGTTCGGAAACAGTCATAGCAAATCTCAGTATAGTACACAACCTAGCCTCCCCCTACACGACTCTGCTTGATGCACCACTGACTTTTTTTGCTGAAATAGGTACAGTACATCGATGACACCATAGGTTCTCACACAACACGGGTAGATCCGCCACACGTCAGATACCGATAGTACTTCGAAATAGGGAGGGGCCACGCGAACAAACATGGCGCTCTGCATCACTGCCGTACAGTCGTACAGTACATCCATCTTGTCCTGGACTCTCGTGCGACCCCCACAGTCCCCGATCGGTTGATTCATCGACCTGAACTGCTTGGTTACATGCTAGAGCTGAAATTATAAATAGTCTAAGGGACCGGCACAGCCAACGAGCTTGCATTGGTGGGCGCTTTCAACAGAGACGAAAACAGCCATTGCCAGGGCGAGGGGCGCAAAACCTCACACGCTTCCTCGCTTTCCAAAACAACCAACGAAAAATCACGTGTGTTCGACAGGAGACCCCCAACTACAAGTATCTGTGCCTTCCGAAAAAAACTTACGGCAAGGCACGCCAAAAGCTAAAACCACGTATGCTAGCCAACAGCTAAACGGGTCATCTTCCACGGGAAACGCGACACACATCACACGGGGAAAAACCGGGTTTTGCCCTTTCACCGGGAATCTGACAAAAACATGACACGGGGACTCAACTCACCACCTGCCGCCGCGCCAGTTTGTGATGGCGTGCAGCAGCATCCACAACCTCGAGAGCGACCGTTCTCGCTACAATTAGCTACCGGTAGTTGTCAAGGGGAGCGGGAAAGCTATTTGGACGCAAGCACAGACGAAGATATGGAAAAGAAAAGAGTAACTTTTTAATGACACCTAACCAGGACAAACGAACAAAGACAAATGACGCAAATTACAAAGAGAGACGAAAACCAACCTACTACACCTTGACACCCGCACGAAAAAACGGAAGTGGGAAGCCGTAGGCTCTCCTCGATAACAGACCCCGACCGGAGGAAATACACGCCGCGCCGAGTACGCCAACGGTACCCGGTGGCAACTACCGTCACAGGAGAGGAAGGAGGTAAAGCACGCAAAAATAAGAAGAACGAGGCAACAAAAGTCTCGGAAAAAAAAAAAGTTCGGCACGAAAAACACGCGCGACTTCAACGCACGCAGCAGCAGCATTTTCTCTCCCTTGCCTGCCTGTACGCGCTGGTTTATGCTGGTGTGTTCATTTTCGCCGTTGTGTGCCCTAGTGCCCACGCGCAGAGGCGGTGTGTTTGACCTCCCACTTCCAGAACGAAAGACACATTTCTCCCGCTGTA